AATAATTCTTCTCTTTACATTGGTAAAACTAAGTGGCATCCCCAGGATTATGACTTTCAGTTTTGTTTCCACTGAAGTTTTCATTTCATCCAAATCTGCCCATCTGAATATGTTGGCTATATCTCAGTATGTGATTTTTAAACAGTCCCTGTTTCAGCGTCGATCTTTCCTCATAAAATGTGTAAATTGTTACTACATACCTTGTGACTTTGACCTGAGTCCTAACAGAAGCACTATCCTAACCTAGTTATCCACATTGTTCATTCCAGAAATGACTTAGTTGCTGAACTGCATGAAGGTGTTTTAGGACACTCTTTTAGTCCATAGTTGTTGTACCTTTGTAAAATGTCTTCTTTATCTTTGTTAATATTTCATTTAATTTTCCTTCTTTATAATCCTACCTTGACTTTTACATTGTTGTAGTAACATTCTACTGAAGGGAAAATTTTTCCTCATCAGCTGGATGTATTAATAATTCCCAAACTATGGTTCCTAATCAAAAAAACAAGAAGGCAGGAGCATACTTCCATAACAAGAACTTCTATTTCACTTTTCTCAAATGGTCACAGCCCAAGAACCATGACTCCCAAGAATAGAGTATCTTTTTCTGATGAAAGAATAGAATGATTACATTCTTTTACCTAATAATTTCATTTTTAGGAATTTATTCTAAGGAAATAAAAGGAATAGACCACAAAGACATAATGGGCACATAATGTTCCTCTCAGTGTTTCTTAAAATAGTAACCCTCAACAAATAAGCAGGAAAACAATAGGGGGAAAATTCAAATATCTATCAGAAAAGAATATATAAGTCATTGTTGGAGCACCCAACAGGATTAGTCTACACATTGTCAACAAGAGAAGTGATCTCTTAAAGTCACCCGAGACAAAGAAAGATCTCCATCCTTAAAATCCACTAATAGAGTCTCATTTATGTTTCTTATTTATTTATTGGAAAAAATAGATTTCAATTAAAAATAAAATATATACATCATACATTCATTTACTATGAACAATGCGTGTGTGTTTTTTTTTTTTATTTGACAGGTAGAGTTATAGACAGTGAGAGAGAGAGAGACAGAGAGAAAGGTCTTCCTTCTGTTGGTTCACTCCCCAAATGGCCACTACGGCCGGTGCTGCATCAGCCCAAAGCCAGGATCCAGGTGCTCTTCCCAGTCTTCCATGAAGGTGCAGGAGCCCAAGCACTTGGGCCATCCTCCACTGCCCTCCCAGGCCACAGCAGAGAGCTGGACTGGAAGAGGAGCAACCAAGACTAGAACCCGGTGTCCATACGGGATGCCGGCACTGCAGGCAGAGGATTAGCCAAGTGAGCCACAGCGCTGGCCCCAACAATGTGTATTTTAAAAAATAAGATGGGAATGGGATTCAAAGGTAAGTTTATTTTGGGTGCATTAAATTTGAAATTCATGAATCTGGGTGATTTTTAAAAACTTATTGAAAATGTCCATTATAAAATCTATATGATATAAGAGTTTTTGAATCAAAATAATCTCTCAATGCATTTTACATGAATTCCTTGAATTGGCCATTGTACATATTGTTTTGGAATTATACACATTGTAAAATGGTTTAATAAAGTGAATTACCATATACATCATAATGCATATTTTTAAAAGTTAAAATTCTTTAAATTTTTCTCAAAAATTTTGGAGAAAACATTTTGAAGTGTAGTCACCATGTTTCACTTTTTTCTTCATCTTCCAAATCTTTCCTCTTTTATCCATTAATTATACATCTATATTTCCCCCCTCATTAAAATCTTTAAATTTGCTTTTCACTTCTGCAGCTTAGATGCTCTTTTCCTAGCTTCTGCACTGAAAGTTACTCCCCATTGTTATGTTTTAAGATCACGTATTATCCATTAGTGAGGACTTTCAAACTCTTCTGCTAAAGCAACCCTTGTCCTCTCCACTGGGACCTATCACATTATTTTATTTTTTATCCAGAGCACTTCAAATATTTAAACTATTTTACACAAAGCTATAATTTATACCACTTTCTTCAAATATGCTCTATGAGGGCAGAATTTGACATTCAGGCCACTCCAGAATGTCAAATTAATTAATAGAAAAATCAGGTATGTGAATCTCACTAGCATCAACGCAAGTTGGTAATTAGCCGGTAACACCATAAAGAAAAAAAACTGACAATCAGAGCAGTTCTGTTTGCTATGAAAGATTGATTTAGAAACAACAACTCAGATGTAGCCAGTAGTATATATAGAAATGTCTAACGTGGGCTGTTTGGGAAATTTCATCTGCTTCTCTAAAAGAAATCAAGATGTGATATATTTTAAGGGACCATAGCCCTTTTGCAGACATGGAAAGGGTAGCTGATGGGCTGTGATTACCTGGGCACACAAGTGTAAAAAGTGGGTCTCTAATGGCTGAAGCACTAATTTACCAGTCAGTACATGTGGGTTTCAGAACTGGAGCCTGTGATGGAAACAGGTTGGGAACACATGAAGGAATAAAGAGGATGCAGTAAACCAGTGCTTAGAGATTGTTTATAACCTTAAATGCTTATGTTAGAATAAAACTGAAAATCAATCATTACAGCTCCCTTGTTAATTATAAACAAAAAATATCAGAGTATTGAAGAAAAAGAAGAAAAAAGGGAACAGCAGACATGTATGAAATGCTATACAATGTACCACAAATAAACAAGGACACAATGACTTTTTTTTAAGAAAAATGTTAACAAAGTTAACCATTAGGAAAAAACAATTAAGGAACAAATGGGGAAGGTAACACAAATAACCAGTTTAGGAATCAAAACAGTATCATTCTTTTGTAGAGATTATAGCTTTGACCAAGATACTAGAGAAAGATATGAAATTCCTAGGAGTAAAATTTGACTACAGAGATCAATATCCACCCTATTTTGAAAATCAGGTTTCCAAAACACAAATATAACATAAAATAGAAAAACTCCTATATAACGCAAGTAAGTTGAATCACATTTTGAAAACTCCAAACGGTCAACCCAGAAAGTCACACAATGACAATTTCAGGTCCAGAATTAGAGAATACTTCAAAAATTTTACCGAAGAAAAAACAAATTTACATTTCAAAGACCTACCCAAAGTGAAAATAAGCAAAGCCTATTTTTTAGTTTCTTTTGGAAAACCACCATTACAGTGAGGATGGTGCAAGCAGGCCAAGACTTGAAATTAAAAAAGGGGGCTGGCGCTGTGGCACAGCAGGTTAAAACCCTGGCCTGAAGTGCCAGCGTCCCATATGGATGCCGGTTCTAGTCTTGGCTGCTCCTCTTCCAATCTTGCTCTCTGCTATGGCCTGGGAAAAGCAGTAGAAGATGGCCCAAGTCCTTGGGCCTTTGCGCCCATGTGGGAGACCCAGAAGAAGATCCTGGCTCCTGGCTTTGGATCAGTGCAGCTCTGGCTGTTGCAGCCATCTGGGAGTGAACCAGTGGGTGGAAGACCTCTCTCTCTCTGTCTCTAACCTCTCTCGGTAACTCTGTCTTTCAATACATAAAATAAATCTTAAAAAAAAGAAATTAAAAAAATAATTTTGGATCAAGACTTGAAATAAAAATTAAGTTTTTAAAAGCATCTCTTTTCGGCCGGCGCTGCAGCTCACTAAGCTAATCCTCCGCCTTGCGGCACCAGCACACCGGGTTCTAGTCCCGGTTGGGGCGCCGGATTCTGTCCCGGTTGCCCCTCTTCCAGGCCAGCTCTCTGCTGTGGCCAGGGAGTGCAGTGGAGGATGGCCCAAGTGCTTGGGCCCTGCACCTGCATGGGAGACCAGGAGAAGCACCTGGCTCCTGCCATCGGATCAGCGCGGTGCGCCGGCCGCAGCGCACCAGCCGCGGCGGCCATTGGAGGGTGAACCAACGGCAAAGGAAGACCTTTCTCTCTCTCTCTCTCTCTCTCTCTCACTGTCCACTCTGCCTGCCAAAAAAAAAAAAAAAAAGCATCTCTTTCATAAACAGAGCTACTAATATCCTCAGAAAAGTATTAATGTAATAAATGAAATCATCTAAGAAAATATATCAATAGGAAGCAGGGACATAATAAAAAATGCAAGGGTGGTTAACATTCCCAGACAGGCCTTCCAGGCAGGTACAAATCGCAAGAAGAAAATCCCATGGTCATTTAGATTTCGTGTTGGAAAGCATTTAGTGAAGTTCAGCAGCTAGGAAAGAGAAAACTGCTAGCAGAGCAACAACAAAAAAGCCAGCGACTTCTTTACTGTGCCTGAGAGTGAAATGAACCTACAGCAAATGACGCAAATAATAAGGGCTCATTGAAAGCTTTTTTCCTTACAGTAAACCTAGGCCATGATTCCTGCACTCTCTCTCAGACTTTCTACTACAGGTGTAATAAAGGAAATAAAACAGCAAAAAGTAATTACATGGTATAAAGATCAATTTCTAAGTCATAAAATGTGAATATACTGGGTGATGCTTATATACGGAGATAATCCATAAAATCTAAAAACTGATAAATGAGATTACTGGAAGAATATACATACGTGTGTGTGTTTGTGTGTTCTAATTACTAAGTACTAGCAGGAAACAGAAAATAATAAAGGACAGGCAGACTAAAAAAAAAACAAGTGAAATTGGAGGATTCAATTTTGTGATATCCTTAAATATTCTTTAAATCAATACTTAAAAAACCACAGATGATTCAACAGAAAAAGTATCACATAGATGATGAAAAAGAAAGGCTCTGAAGCCAATAACAGCCATTAAATGGTAACCGACCTGAGTTAGTTTACTGCAAGCTCCAAGTAGGAGCCTCTCAGGAAGATGCAGGTGGGTGCCCAGCAGTGAGCAGGACCAGAGAGGAGATCCCACCTCTCCCTGCAGGGAGGGTGGTGCGCAAGAGGACGAAGTTTCAGAAATGAACCAAGACTCCTTCTTGCTTCTGCCTCCAGCAAGACCTGGAGTTATGCAGCACACTGATTGGCTGCATCTTTTATGACGTGTGCATCCTCACAGCTAGGCAAGCTGTCCAATCAGGTGTGGTAGCATAAGTGCTACGTAATCCCACGGAATCTTGACATCATAGTAGTCAACCAGTTCCGTGGTGGAGAGGCCCAAGGAGGGGGCTCCAACACTCAGAACTCTGAATGTAGCCTACGTCCATTGTTCTCGTACCTTCTTCCATCGCAGGAAGCTGCTCACCTAGAACCTCGGGACATGGTGCGTGGGGCTGAGCTTGAGGAGAGGGGAAGGCAGGGTGGGGAAGTTGTCAGAAAAGGCTGGCAGGATGTGGGCTTCCCAGAAGTTGTCGCTGGAGCCTGTAGGCCCCCTCTTGTTGCTGATACGACCCTCCACTCAGCCTCTTCTGGTCTGCAGTACGGGGGCTGGACTGGCACCCGGGACCCCCGGCGTCCTGTTCCTTTCCTGCTCACAGTCCAGGGGCCATCCCTGGGCAGCTGTTGGTGGCATCCCCTTGTCTTCCCCGATTGTGCAGTGGGGACAGGATGGTCATTATGGAGCATATGGGTTGTGTGCTGGGTTCCTGCAGCGAAGAGCTGTCACTTATTGGATCCTCAGTTCCTCTTCTCCCCGGGGTGACAGCATTCCCCAAGTTTTCTGAATAGTTCAGAAGCTGAGTCTCAGCTCATGGCCCTTGACTTCTTAGCGTAGCTCTTTCTGGGAGTCTGACCACGTTTTCTGTTGGTAACAACAGCGTCACAGACCAGGTAAGTTAATGAAACAGTTTTATTTTGATCAGGCTTTGGTAGAGGTTTTAGGGGGGACAAGACGACACTGTATTTTGGTCTTGATGTCATCTGAGCCTTTACATATTCCCTGAACTTTCAAATAAGAAATTTTAGCTAGTCACATTTATCAATGTTTTTAAAACTGTTTCTGTTCCATGAAAACCTTCCCAACCCCAAAGATATAAACCTTTTTTTTTTTTTGAGTTTTAATTTTGATGTAGGGTGATTGTTTTCAAAGTTATTGGAGTATAATTGACAAACAAAATTTGTAGATATTCAAGGCCTGCACCTTGAAGTTTTGATATGTGAAGAGACTTTTTAAAAATTTATGGAAATTTCACTGTTTAATCCTGTTTTTCCAACCTTTTGGAGTTCCCTTGTACATATACATTCTGAAATGATTAGGAAAATCAAACTAATATATCCATCACCTTACATAGTTTTTAAAAGAAAACCTAGTGCCTTAACAAGTTGTGAATATCTATCATATATTCATAACATTTCTGAGCTGTACATTTTCTCCTAACTGTAAATGTGTGTCATTCAACTAACATCTTCCATTTCCTTCACTCTCAGCACCTAGTAAGCACTATTCTCTTCTGTGCTTAAGTCTGACTTTCTGAGATTCCATAAATAAGGGAGATTGTGTGGTATTTATCTTTCTGTGACATTTCAATCAGCCCAATGGTATATTCAAACTTTTCAATCCAGATTGTGACAAAATGTCAGAATTTCCTTGTTAAGGTTGAATGTGACTCCATTGTGTTTGTCTGGCATTTTCTCTACTCATCTGTTGATAGACAATGTTTATTTATATATCTTATTCGTGTGAATAATGCTCACATGAACATGGTTGTGCAGTTGTATCTTGAGATAGTAATTTTATTTCTTTAGATGCACATCCAATAGTGGGAATGCTTTATCATTTGTTAGCTCCATTTTTAATTTTATTTGAGACACCTCCATAGTGTTCTCCATAGTGGATGTACTAATTTACATTTCTATAAACAATTTATATGTTCCCCTTTCTCCAATGCTGGTTCAATATTTATGTTTTTTTACTTTTTTATAATAGCTATTTTTACATACGTGTGATCATAACCATTGTGGTCTTGAGCGCAGTGCTGAGACCCTTTTAAATGCCTGTTGGCTGCTTATGGAAAAACTGATCCGATCCTTTGTCCATTTTTTATTACAATATTTCCTTTTGAATTGTGTCTATTCTTTATATTAATCCTTTAATCAGCTATGATTTGCCAGTATTTTCTCTCATTCCTTGCTTTCACTTTTCAGCTTTTCCTTTAGTATGTAGAACTTGATTTTTTTGCAGTCCTACTTCCTTATTTTTGCTTTTGTCACCTGTACATTTGGAGTCATACCTAAATCATTATAAAAGTCTGGCAAAGCCACAGTTTTAGATGTTGGTGATTTGAATCAGTGGATGAGAATGTCCTCTCTTTCTCTCTCCTTCTCCCTCTCCCCCTCTCTCTCTCTGTTTCTCTGTGTGTCTCTTTTTCTTTGAAACTAATTAATTGAGAAATTCTTTAAAAACTTCATGGAGTAATTGGTACCAAATCAGAGCTAGATGATAGTGAGTTCCTTGTGTTACATAGCATTGTGGGTGACTATAGTCCACTGTAAGCTATCCCATATTTTAGGAACAAATAGAGGAAAGGTGCTCCAAGGCCCTGAAGTATAATGGCAGAGAAGGGAAAATGTTGTTTACTCCAATCTATTCAGTACAAATTGTATGCATGAATTAAAATCTCTCACTGCAGTCCATAGGTATGCATAATTATTGTCAACAAAATAAACTCAAAACATCGTTCTTGGTGTGTAACATTAAGGGGTGTTAAAATACTTAAATTAGTATCACAACTAAAATTCTGATCTTTGGAAGCAGTTTATTCATACAAACATAATCTAGAAATATGTGAATTGGCATTTTTTAAAGATTGATTTTATTTATTTGATAGAGTTACAGAGAGAGGTAGAGACAGAGAGAGAGAGGTCTTCCATCTGCTGGTTCACTCCTCAAATGTTCACAATGGACTGAGCTGAGCCTATCCAAAGCCAGGATCTTCTTCTGGGTCTTCCACATGAGTGCAGGGGCCAAGGACTTGGACCATCTTCTACTGCTTTCCAGGCCATAGCAGAGAGCCGGATCAGGAGAGGAGCAGCAGGACTAGAACTGGTGCCCATATGGATGCCGGCATTCAGGCCAGGGCTTTGACCCACTGTGCCACAGCACCAGCCCCATGAATTGGCATATTGTCATTCTAAGTGGAGTGATTAGGAGGCAGTATTTTACCTTACAATGGTAATTAGTACAACTTTTCAATTGTTTCATATAAGGAAAATGAAGTATTTCTTTAAGAGTATATGGAATTAGGGGTGGAGCCAAGATGGCAGAATAGTGAGGATGCGCACTGATAATCTGGGAAAAGATAGGTTGACAAAAGAGGAATTACAGTAATCACAGGGAAAGGCTTGGGGGAAAAATGCAGAGGAAACACTTCTGGATCTAGTGGATGTGACACAGACGACCAGCGGGGAGAGCAGGGACGCCCACAGCTCTGAGTCCACACATCAGCGCTGGAATGGGAGGTGAACTCAGTAACCTGAGACATTGGTGGGGAAACGGTGGACAGAGTCTAGAGGGAAGCAGGCTTGAGGAGGGAAAGTTCATCAGACTGACTACAGGAGAGAAGGAAGAAAAAAAAGTCGGGAGGTACTGGTATGGGCAAGTTTCTCTCTCCACTGACCTTGCAAAGGTGAGCAAGAGACAAAGAGCAGGTGCCATTCTGGATATACATAACAAAAGGGTAGAGCTAATGAACTGAGGTGCTACAATTCAGTGGCCTAGGCAACCCAGTGGGAGTCTGCAGGAGAAACTGAGCCCACACAGATTCTTTGGGCAGAAGCCAGAGATTGGAAGCATAAATACCATCAATTCTGCTCAGCTGTGTGGTATTACTTACCTCCTGATAAAAAAAAATTATGGTGACTTGATCAGCCCTCACTCTGACTGCTGATGAGCAACTTGATATGTTATCCCTCTTAGTATTTTGTTTGTTTGTTCTCCTTACTGCTTTGGGTTGAATACTATAATCAATACACAATTATTCTTAAGTGCTGAAACTTAACTGAAAAATGATCACTGTTAATATAAAAGTGGGAATAAGAGAGGGAAGAGATGTGCAATTCGGGACATGCTCAACCTGACTTACCTCAAATGGTAGAGTTATAAACATAAGAGGGGATTCCAATTCAATCCATCAAGGTGGCATGTATCAATGCCATCTCACTAGTCCCAGTGATCAATTTCTGTTCACAATTGATCATAATGATAGGACTAAGAACCAAAGGGATCACATAAACAAGAATAGTGTCTGCAAATACTAGCTGATAGAATAAAAAAGGGAGAGAATGATCCAACATGGGAAGTGAGATACACAGCAGACCCATAGAATGGCCAATGTCCTAACAGCACTCTGGCCTCAGAATCAGCCCTTAAGGCATTGGATCCAGCAGAAAAGCCCATGAGAGTATTTCAGGCATGGAAAGCCAAGACACTCTAGGGAAAAAAAAAAACCTAAATGAAAGATCTCCACGAGTGAGATCCCAGTGGAAAGAACGGGTCATCAAAGAAGGAGGTACCTTTCTCTGAAGGGAGGAGAGAACTTCCACTTTGACCATGGCCTTGTCTAAAAATGATCAGAGTCAGTGAACTCAGGGGACTTCCATAGCCTTGGCAGCTCATGACAAGAGCCTAGGGTGATTACCATGCCATAAACAAGAGTGTCAATTGTTAAGGTCAACAACAGGAGTCACTGTGCACTTGCTCCTCATGTAGGATCTTTGTCCTAGTGTGCTGTACATTGAGATTTAATGCTATAACTAGTACTCCAAACAGTATTTTTCACTTTATGTTTCTGTGTGGGAGCAAACTGTTGAAATCTTTACTTAATGTATGCTAAACTGATCTTCTGCATATGAAGAGAATTGAAAATGAATCTTGATGTGAATGGAAGGGGAGAAGGAGTGGGAAAGGGGAGGGTTTTGGGTGGGAGGGACGTTATGGGGGGGAAGCCATTGTAATCCATAAGCCGTATTTGGAAATTTATATTCATTAAATAAACGTTAAAAAATTAAATAAATAAATAAATAAAAAGAGAGAGATTTACCACGCATAACCTGAAAGGTGTCACCTTTGCACACCCTTACCCGGAAGAACCAAGCAGAGCTTTCTGGCCACACCCATCTCAAGCCTCCAAGGCTCCTCCAACAGCAGGCAGTCCACTTAACACAGACATAGTATTAAAAAAAAAACTCACAGTGAGGGAAGAAGAACTAACAATGCCAAGCAACAAACACAAAAATCAAGGGAACAAGATCAACAAAGACACTATTATGCCTACAAATAAACAAAACACCCCAAGCCAAGATTATGAAGATGATGAGATAGAAGAA